TACTAGTAGCTATATGGGGGTTTCCCAAAATTATGGGTACCTTTTTGGGGGTCCCCATAATAGGGATTATGGTATAGTGGGGTCTATATTGGGGTCCCCCTATTTTGGGAAACTACCATATTATTGCTACCGATCTTTAATATTACCATTATTACTATTAATATATTACCTATTATTGCACTAATTGTTACTATGATGACTATTCCCCAGTGCTAATGACTTCCCCTTGTGAATGATTTCCCCCACCNNCCCCCCCCCCCCCCCCCCCCAATGCGAACACATTCTCTTTGGAGGTAATATCCCCAAATATATCCCGATACACCCCTGCATTAATTCTAGGGACCTTAAACCGTAAAACCCTAAACCCTGTGTGACCGTAGCTTCCCCAAACCCTCATTAGGCGGAAAACGTTTAGAAAGGACCCATGGCCTCTTCCCGGATGGCCCAAGCCTTGGCAGCTGGGCAGCCAGTTGCCGACGCCGCGGGGATGCGCAGGGTGAGAGGATTGGGTTTAAGGGTCAGGGTTTCGGAGATTCAGGGTTAGGATAAATGTGGTGGTCTCAAAACGATCAGAAGCCCCTTTCTGTGAGCCCCTATTCAACGGGAAGGCATTTTGGGAAGTCAAGTGGGACCCAAATTCTAAATCGCTGTCATGTGTTGAAAATGGTTGGGTGCAAGGGGTTCTATAGGTCGTGGGGTCGGTTCGGGAACCCAAAAAGTCCTGTCATTTCCTTAGCTCGTTGCGGGTAGCCACTTATGGTAACATACAAAGCCTGAACCGAAAACCCTAACTGCCCCAAAACCTAAACCTGAAGGTTGACACATTGCATGTCTTTGCGGCAGGAGCCTGCTTCAACACTACGCTTCATGGCAGCGCAGACGCTCAAGCTGATTTCGGATTTTGTCAGAAGAGGCTAACCTACGGGGCCCTGTCACAGGGATGGTTACGTTTCTGCATATTTAGGGATACTCCGAAGGATAGCATCTCGGGGTGACTCTCAGAAGCTCCCACACGGACTGTTCAGATTTCCCATACTCGTACCATGGCAACTCTATACTCCCTGTAAGTTCCTTCTGAATGCAGCTGAACGACTACATAATAAGCATCCGGCGGCAGATGCACGTGGCTAAAGAATGCCCAGCGTTAATTAAGCAGCCAGAAAGAAAAGAGGCAGGAGGATCGCTCTTTAAAAATGGCAGATGCCTTGTACAGTAGCAGCAGCCCAATCCACATGACCACGCAGACGCCCCGCTTACGATATGAGGATGGTCCTTATGACATGACCGTCCAAACTCGATGCCTTGAAAACAAAAAACAAACGCGCCTTTCTCAGAGGGTTTCGCACACACTCCCCCAGAATGTGGCCTTCAGTGTAAGAAGTCCAGCCTCCAACTGTCTCTTAGCCTCTGACCCAGATTCCCTCCTCTAAGGCAACCTGACACTTTGTTAGTTCCTTTTGGGTTTGTGAAGCTAAGCTGGCCCTTTTCAGGTTCCAGATTTGCTTAAGGGAGTGTAGCCCTAAACCCTCTTGAAGTCCTCATCCATGAGCCCAAGCTTATAGCCCCCCTTAAGTAGAAAGAATATAGGGTATATGGGGATCTTAGTATGTTTTTGGGCAAAGCCATATTCTTCCTAAACCCTAAATCCTAAGCCCTGAACCCTAAACCTATAACTCAGGGCAGGGAAACTCAGCCTTGGAGTCTCTTTGCCTCGTGGCTGTGGCGCGGCGTCTCTCCATGGAAGGAGTAGGGGGAAGGTTTTGGGGGCTTAGGGTTTAGGGTTTAGGGTTGAGCGTTGAGGGGGCTTTTGGGGTGGGCTTCTCACATGGGTATAATTTTTCCTCCAACGCTATAAGTCGCCCCTCCCCCCCTCCCGGCCTGATGTATATGCTGCCCACACATGAAAGGGGTGTATTGATTTCAGACACCGAAGCCGTGGGGGAGGTGTGTCAAGGGAGTCTTAGTTACAAGACGCTCCTCCAGCAAGCATCAGCAAGCCAAACAGAGCATGTAATGTCTTATTGGCCTAGCAGCTGCTATTCCTGCCAACCTACATGTTGATATAAGAGGGTTGAATCGTATGGAGAGGCGATTAAAGCATATCATAGGTCATGGAACTGCCCCCCCCACCCTGTCTTCGTGATCACCTCAATCCCACAAAATGAGCAATTGAGGACTATTACGCACCAAGTAGCTTTATTTGTGACATCAGCGGGCATGACCCAACGTATCCTGCACTACCAAAGGTCATGGGTCTCGATACCTGGGGTCATGCAGGATTTTCGTCCATCACGACTTGGGAAGCCCTAATCCTACCCCAGGCCAAGCCAAGCCAAGACCTACTACCAGGGGAGGGGTCTACATAATATCCAAACCCAAAATCCCTAAAGCCTAAACCCTAAATCCTTAAACCCTAAATCCCTAAACCCTGATAGATTACTGTCCCCTTAAGGCTAAATGGGGTTCCTCCCTGCAGGAAGAAGTGAAGAAGCTGTAGAGCTCCTGTTCCTTGGCAGTCTCGTGGGTGCAGGGTCTATATGGGTGGTTGTCAAAATTATGGTCCTTTTTTGGGCGCCCTAAATTGGGCACCCTAAAACTAGGTGCCGTATTATATTAGAGATCCAAAAAGGGGCCACAATTTTGACAACCAACTATATTGGGGTTATATTAGGATAGTGGAAAATAAAATGGAAACTACTATAATATATTGGGGTTTTATAGGGATAATAGTGGGAAAGACAATGGAAATTATTGTATTGGGGTTTAGGGTTTTGGGGGTTTAGGGATTACCCCCAATACTGGAGAATCAAACGGAAAATCACATGGAGAACGACATGGAAACTGGGATGATGTAGGGGTCTTGTATCTGGGTTCTTAAAGATCCCGATTGTCTGCATCCCTTTTAGGTATTCCAGCAGCATGGTGCCTGTTAGTAGTTGGCGTTATCCTGCGTATGATGGAGGGGGCCCCTCCTCCGGGAATACTCGTGCAGCTTTTTGGGAGCTATCCGAAAGTGCTGAAGGGCATATGTCTGGCTTCATGGGCAACAGGCGACATGCTAGAAATGTTGAGACGTGGGCACTCCCGGAGTGGATGGGAATTTTCCAGCTGAGCGCATGGATGGGATCCCTCCCTTGCAATCTCAACCCTTATAAAACTCCAATGTCCGTTTGATTTTCCATGATCCTTTCCATTTGATTCTCCACCATACTATAACCCTATAAAACCAACCCATGTATGACCTCAATATATATATATCTAGGCTTGTCGTGGACCTCTTTGTTGAGAAGCCTCAACCTTACGGGTTCGCACCAGGGAAGAAGGGCATAAAATCCCTACCATACAAATAATCCCTATGTGAGATGTTCCCGTATTCCCTACTGACCCTAAACCCTAAACAGTAGTTTCCTTTTGTCCATTATCCCCTGTGTCACCCCTATATATTATAGTAGCTTCCATGTTCGTTTCCATTATCCCTATATATCATAGTAGCTTCCATTTTCTTTTCCATTTTCCCTATACAACCCTATATATTATACCCCTATATTCCCCTGTTCTCTACTACAAACCAGTAAGTTGCTAGGCGAGAGGCCGCTAGGAGGCTGCCTCTGGAAGCAGCTGCTGACGGAGTTTGGCGGGCTTGCGGGGGCGACCCGGAGGAGAGTGGGAGCTTCTCAATTTAGGGTTTGGGGTGTAGAATCCCCATAGGAAGCCCTGCAATCCTTCTTTGTCCCAAGGTTTATTTAGAGCGGTAGGGAATTTGGGGACACCGTCATGCCTGCGTTGGCTGAGCAGTGTAAACCTGGACAGCAAACCCTGCCTAGGGGCTACTACCCCACCCCTGGTGAAGGCTTATTGCTAGGGAATTCTGTAGCAACAAGCGCCCGCAACAAGGGGAAGAAGTTTCTAGGCAAATGAATACTCTGCTTCAGGAGCTGCCGAGGAAAGCCTGGAAGATTCGATCTGGGAACGCTTATGCCAAGGCGCCCAGCAGCTACTCATTCCTCTTCTTTTCCATCATGCTGGTTTGTACTCTTGAGGAACTCCTGCATGACAGTCAGGTCGCGCAGGTCTAGAAATTGCAGTCGTTTAGAGACCTTAGTCGGTGCAAGATCACTGCCATCATCATTTTTTGATACTGTAGTCTTCCTGCTAGATATGAGCTCAGGGTTACCGAAGCCTATGGCTTCCCTGACTTGAGGAGTTGCGGCTTCTGCAGCATATCTTACGGGTTGTGCCTCCTGGCTCGGACAACATCTTGGAGGTCATGGAGTCGTATGGCAGGGACGAGTCACGATGCTGCAGAAAGTTCCTAGTTGGGGATGTCTGAATGCTTCATGCCAGTGATAGGAAACGTCCGACGAAATTGCTGTAATAGTTAATGTCATGTTACATGTTTGTGTTGCTTTCGGTTGATTAGTATTGGTTTTGCTTGCGTTCGCTCTCTGATTTTGGCTGCTCCCATCCAACATCCCCATGAGGCTGCCCAGCTTCAGCAAGTGGCTAAAGATCGCCGGAGGCGAGAAGGCTCAGCTGCTATCAGCCGCAGCAGAAGCCAGTCCCAAAGGACCTCATGTTCGGGGCGCCTGCTTTTTTTGTTTCTCGAAATTCGGGGTGAGGGAGCAAAATTTTCAGAGCCATCTATATAAGAGTTGTTTCAAAAAAGGCTTGGTGCGGGGGAACTGCCATAACATCCCCATATCCAGATATATATATATGTATATGATATTACTAATAGCAATAAGTATAATAGTAATAATAATAATAATACTAACATATATATATATATCTGTATGTATACATATATGTATATAGATATATATATATATATATTCTTGCCCATGTTTCGAGCAACCTCCAGAATGGCGCAGAATGCAGGAGTGGCGCTGGAGCTGGGTCTCTACTGCGGCTTCTCTGCGCTGCGATTGAGCTCCCAGATGCCGGTAGCACCTTGGACATCCATCTGAGGAAGTTGCTGGGATATGGTACAGATTGTAGGGTTTAGGGTCTAGGGTACATCACACTCGATACAAGACTCTCACGGAGAAAGCAGAGATTCTGTTGTCCCTCGGGATTTCCATGCCAGAGATCCAATCGTACGCATCCCTGTTGCCAGCTAGGCCAGAACCATGAGCATGGCTTCATTTCGTTCACCTACCGCAGCTAAAAGTTCAGCTTCAAAATCAGTTCGGAATTGTGCTGACATGATGACCTCTGCCGAACAACAAGATTGCTCCCGCTTGCGAAAGTGAAGACTGATTTTCTTTTTGAGGGGGAAGGTTTTTTGTCGTTAAGGGGTTGCATCAGTTTGTCCAAGAGCCGTGAACGAAGATGAAATCCGTCCGTCGGATCCAGTTGTATTACATCATTGTCCGCTTCAACATCCCGTTCAAACTAGTGATGCACATGGATCATATAGATGGCAAAGCAAGCATGATGGGTTGCCCTGCCAAAGCTCTCCTAGGTTCCCCTAAACCGTAACCCTAAGCCCCTTTAAACCCCAAACCATATAAACCCAAAACCCAGTAAACTTAGGGGGAAGCCATCAAACCAAGGTCTCTGTCGAAGCCGACTTGGCCCACGCCCTCATTGCAGTCCTCGGGGCTCTCAAATGGGAGTTTCTCAAAAGAGCGGGCCCTTGGGGACCCAAGGGGTCTATGGAGGTACCTATTAGGGGATTGCATGGGAATGATTTTGAGAAGCTCCGGTTTCGCACAGTTGTCATTTTTTGGGGGTGGTGGATGTCCCTAGCGTTAGGCGGTGGTGGGACAAAATTCAAACTCCTGGCTAAGAGGAGGGGTTCTCAGCGTTTTTGGGGGTGGCCATCTCGTGGGGAGACCTGATAACAAGCTGAAAAATTCCCCACAGTTAGAATGTTCTTACATAACTAAAGCTTCTCAGGGCGCCAATGAAGCAAATTGGTTCTCCAAAAAAGCATTTGTTGCAGGGTTTTGCTGCTAGTGGGAGAGGTGATTGCGGCGATAGCTGCTCTTCCATACGAAACCAGCTACAGCACAAAAGCGCCAATCCCTAAGCCTCGAAGCCCCAAATCCAAATAATCGAGAAAGCTTTATTATGGATTCCCTATAGTAGGGTAGTTTCCATGTTCTTTTCCATTATCCCTATATAACCCCTATATAACCCCTATACTAGGGTAGTTTCCATTTTCTTTTCCATTACCCTCGACGACTGCCGGACTGTAGGAAGCGGTGCTCAACTTTGCAGAGGCGGCCCACAAGGCCATTATCGGTGTGATGCAGCGGTCTTAGTTTTCAGGTTAGGTCCTAAGGTCTGGAGTCTGGGGAGGGGGATGGTAGTAGGGTTATATTGGGTTTTGTTGGGTTATGTTGGGATAGTGGAAAAGAACATGGAAAGGGTCTAGGGTTGCGAGATGAGGCTCAAAGTTGTCCTCTGTAATTCCAGGACTAGGAAACCTGGCAATTAGGGTAATGTAGGATTTTCCTATATAGATGATGGGAGTACTGCTTCGTTAAAACCTAGGAACCGACCGGTGAGAACTCAAGCCAACCTTAACCTGGCTGAAGGTTGAAATCGTGGTTGGTCATACTGAGGACCGCGGCTCCTGTTTAAAGGGGGTTAAGGGTTTGGGGTTTAGGGTTTAGGGTTTAGGTTAAGGATTTGCAGTGAGGATTACCCCAGGTGATTTGAGACATTCAGCGCCTATCCGGCCTTGAACTTACTATCCAAAATGATATGGAGCGGGTTGCTGTACTTGAGAGATTTAACGTGATTGGTATTGTGATTCACACGTGAATGTTGTTTTCCAGCTGAAGTCGAGCAGCCCTTTCTGTTGAAGTACGGGTCTAGTTGATGCTGAATCTGTTTCAGATTATTGCTGCTTGATGGTAGGCCAGCAATATTCTGATTCCGAAGTAAGCCCCTTATATCACATGGACATGGATGCCTTTCAAGAGAAGATTCAGACAGATGACCGCCCCAACATGCAAGCTTTCTTATATGGAGGGAAGTACTTGATGGTGTTCCCAAAGGGCGGCCATGCGTGTAACGGTCACTCTGCTGGTTTTGCGGGGAGGAGATGCTTCCTTGGCTGATTCGCCGGATGAAGCCGAGAACCTGGGCTAGACAAGTGCACTCAACATGCCAAGGGGAACCGATCATAGAGCCTTCAAATTGAAGCATGATTCCTTCGGGTGGGGACTTAGGTTCACTGTACAAGAGCAGGATGTTGAAAATGGGAAGGCCTCAAACTTTGTCATGAGACTAGTACCCCCAAAGACAGCCGCGTGAAGCGGCTGTTTCTGTGCGGCAACTGGCATAGTACGTGTCTGCCTTTCATCATACGGCATATGACCACTAGTCTAAACTCTTAAAGGGGGTTATATAGAGGAGTATTAGCTCAAGTGGACCCTACGTTAGTTTCCCGATTCATGGACAAAGCTACAAGGTTCCTGAAAATACTTATTAATTTCTGTCACCTAGAATCCTAACATTTAGCTGACATTATAATTTCTACTGGGGTTCCAAATCCCTTAGAGAAAGAAGTTGAGATCAACTTGAGGCCAGACTCAAGTTGGCTTCGTATTCATGGACCAACGCGGCTCCAGGTACCATGCCGACACCTGGCAGCTTTAAAGTAGGGATTAGGGTTTAGGGGTTTAGGGATTAGGGTTTAGGGATTAGGGTTTAGGGACTAGGGTTTAGGGATTAGGTTACTCAAAACAGGGGATCCTCGCGTGAGAGGCTTATCCGGAAGGTTCCTATACAGTACCTTAGGCAAATTCAAGCAGCTTCAATGTGAAGGTTATGACCATAGGATTCATAGGGGCCCTCCTTAAGGAGCTAGGGTTTAGAGTGCCCTCTACCCATTATACGTAATGGCCTTCAACCCCAAAATAATGGGTTTGCGGGCTATTCGTATGGGTATTTGGGATGTCCACCTGCTGTTTTTCACTCTGAACTCTCTCCGAGCTCAGGATCTTGACCTGTTGATTCAGTCCGGAGTGCTGAAGGATGGTGCCATGGTCGTAGCGGACAACGCAGCTCATCCCACAAAACAAGAGCCTGCCCCATAGGGTGTATAGAGTTTAGAGGTGTGTGTGTGTGTGCCTTGGCTATACAAGGGTCATATGAGTTGTAAGCTTGGGGATATGTATGCGCGCATGATTGTGCAAATTTATAGGTAAATATATATATATATATATATGCGGCTTTAGAATAGTTTCCTCCCTTCCACCCAAGAAGAAGCTCCCCTCTACCTCATGTTAGTACGCCTGGCCCTGTTAGTTGTGCTCCTGTAGGGTGCAGCTCATTTTTGGGGAGGGGGATGTTGCGTAGCAACGCTTTTTAGCACAAGCCTTTGTGCTGAAGCCCAAGATTAAGCTCTCAGAAATTGGGCTATGTTACGCGCCTAGTTTTTTTGGTGGAGGGTTCTCAAATTTCTGGGCCTTTTCTAGGTGCAAAGATCCCCTTTTTGGAGGAGACCATCTTGCGAATTAGTTACGGGCACCCAGGTTCTCAAGCCCGGGGCGCCGCGTTTCCTCTGGGCGCTGGCACAGCACTCCGCTCTCGCCACTCACATTCTGGAAGTGGAAGAGTGCCCTGGAGGGATAAGACGGCATTCCTCCTTCGACTGCAGTACATGACATGGTACCCAGATTAGAGGGTATTCCAGTTAGTTGGACACCTGATGTATCTAGAAACAGGCCTTGAGCAAATCTGTGCGAGTTGGTGGAGGAACGCAAAAAAAGGCTCAACGTGAGGATCTACGAGCATTTTTCGAGTTGTTTAACTTGCTCAGGTTTATGCATGAGGCCTTGCTTCATTCTAAGGTATGCGATGCCAAACGTGCCAGACTGGATGACAACGAGCATCTACCGCATCTCGGCAAGTGTATTGGCTTTCGTAAATTAGGGACGCTGTTGCAACTGGACCTCCACATGCTGCCTCTGAAGCCACAATCATGACATCCAATATCCTAAACCCTACCTGGATCTCCCAAACACCTATAAGAATGGCCTTTATACCAGTTATCTTGGGCGATTAAAAACCATCATTATGGGTATATAGGTAGTCCAGGTGAACACTTTGAAGAGCCTCCGGGAAGCCCTACCCCAGACCCTGAAGCCCCAGCATAAACCAGACTTCGCATACCCAGAATTTAGCCACTTATCAAACCCTCAAGCTCCATAGCATAGATACCAACATCTAGGTTTTGAATTTCCCGAAATCCTACATTGGCAGTATATGTGAAGGTTCATGTGCTTTGGTTCCCAGTGTACTGCGGTTCCATTTTGGGAACAATCACTCGGGCAGAGCTCCAATACTCCAGTATAATCCCTATAGATCTCTTACAATGTCACCCATGAGCCCCATGTAAAACCTGTAGACCAAGCCTATACCTTAAACCCTAAACCCCTAAACCCTTAAACCTTAAACTCCCAGGTGACACAGCTGGATCATGTGAAGCGCTGGTCTGCGAGGCGCCTGGAGCCATCAGACAGCTGGAGTGGGAGGCTCCTCGGGTTGAGGGTTTAAGGCCTTAGGGTCTGAGGTTTAAGGGTTTTAGGGTTTCGGGGTTTTGGGTTTACGTCTCAAGGGTCTAAGGGTTTCAGGGTTTTGGGTTTAGGGCTCAAGGGTCTGAGGGTTTAAGGGTTTAGGTTTTAGGCTGAAAGGAGCTGAGGGCTTAGGGTTCAGGGTCAAGGTTTGTGGGTTGAGGATGTTTCATTCAGGATTGGTGTAAGGACTTTAGGCTTCATGGGCTTCCTACTAAGGCATTCCAGTAATCCCTAGAAAGTTTAGGGTTTAGGGCCTACACCCTGAACCCCTTGGTGAGGGACCGGGATCCTTCGCCTAAACCATTTCCAGCCCCCTGCATACGCGGATTCTTCTATGATAAGCGTACTAGGGGAGTTGAGGGTTTAGCCTTACATGGGGGCTCCTATTACAATGCAGGTCTCTGCTAATTTAGGCAAAGTATCATATGGGAGTTCCAAAACTGGAGAGTACACCCCCCATCATCCTGATCATCACAGGGACTTTCATGCTTTGAGAGCCCCAGCCCCTAAACCCTACATTCCCCAAACCTTATATAGCCTATATACATACACCCACATCCCAGCTTCAATACTACTGTGGATGGAGGAAAGGCTTGCACCACCTTCTCTCCCTTATACCCTACGGAACTAAGTGGTGCAAGATTTCCTCCACCCGCCGTGCAACCCAAATCTCCCTTCACACTCTGAATTATAAACCCTATACCCAAAGGGACCCCTGATTTTTCAGAAGATCCGAGTGTGAGGCCGAACAGATGCGAAGCAGAAGCCATGAACCGCAGCATGGGGGCAGCGGAGTGTCCTGACAGCCTTGAAGGGGTTTTATAGGATGAGTTAGGCTTTACGGGTTGGGGCCTGGATTTTGGGATGCAGGATTCAGGATCTATGGTTGATCTGTGGGTACAGGGAATCCTTTAGTTTCTTTTCCTCCCTATACTTTCCACTTTCTTTTCCGCTATCCCAATGTATCCCTAATATACCCGCTGTAATCCCTCGAGTTTCCATTTTCTTTTCCATTAACCCTATATGACTCCAACATATCCCAAAAAGCCGCGGCCCGCATGAGGTTGATTTCGGCCAATGGTTGGCCTTCTCGAATGCCATGGCATGCTCAGTCACAGAGGCTCTCTCTTTGAAAGTGACGCGCTTTTCCCATAGCCTTGCGCGCGGCGGCATGAGAGAAAAGGTCGAAACTACTACCTGCACACCCCCAAATTACCTACCATCATGGCCTGTTAGCCCAAAATGAGGAGCATTCGTTGGGAATCAGGGAATAGAGTCCCTGTACAACACATTCTCTGATTCAATACTAACCCTGAGTAAGTTATAGCTATTTGGGGAGGTCTAGGTAGTTCTGAAGGGTAATTGGGTGGAGTTCAGGTTGCGCCTTCAGTGTATGTTAAACGCCAACATGCAGTTTCTTTGTAGCCAAGACTAGATTCATCCGAATCGGGGTAGTGCAGGAAGGTGCTGATTTGTAAAATCGCAAGGTATAGTTTTCAGGTCAGCACTGCTCAACTGCTTAACTTCTCTCCATGAGCCGCCGGAGGGAGATCTCTAGCAAAGCTCTCGCAAGAGCTACATTAAGGGACCCAAAGCTAGGAATGCTCTTAAGTCTTGGGCACTTGTTCAGAACCTATCGCGAAACCATACTCCCAGTAACTTCGGTATCCCTCATTGTTGTTCGGCGAATGGATTTCACACACGAGCTTTGAGAGTGCTTTTACGAATAATATGCCCCAGGTCACGGTCTTGGGCCTGATGGCGCCACTTCTGCTCAGAGGCGGGCTTGCAGGTCAACCTTGATTCTGCTCAGTATTGTTGTGGCTGTCGCGTCCTGCACAACATAAGGCGAACAACTCCCGGGGACTGCAAACTCAAGCAGGGATCAGGAGTAACACGTGGAATTCCAACCATTCCCCAGCAGCTCTGCTAGTGTCGGTGAATTTGAATGCTCTCAACATTCGGAGCAGAACGAGGAGAAGTTGGAGTTGCTGTTGTTGTCGTTGTTGCTGCTGCTGAAGTACTGCTGCGTTTACTGCTACTGTGATACTGCTGTTGGCACCGGCAAGTACCAGTGCCAGCAATAGCAACAGCTGCAAGATGATGACCCAGATACTGGCAAGCTGGTACCACAGGGAAAGTCGATTTCTATTCCCGTGCAGGTGGTGGACTTTCACCAGCCGCCTCAGCAGCAGTGGCCCCAAGCATGGCTGTGTTAGTGTAATCTCAACGGAGTATGCCGATTTTTTAGAGTCAGGCCGTGAGAAACATGTAAATAAACATGTAACCCAACCTTTGATGAGTATCGTAGAGGAGTCCTTCTTGTAGGGGTTCAGGTTACCAAGTCACTTTTAGGGCCAATAGATTTTCTGATTAGGGGAAGAATATTCAGCATGCAAACCTGAAATCAAAACTTTTGATTATGCATTCGACTCGATTCGTTGTGATCTTCGTCTCTGGCCACTCAGTTGCATGCTTCCTCTCGAATTGCAATGTTTGATTGCAAGCACAAGGACCAATTGTTTGGGCTTTCTCGGCTTTAAGGGTTTAGGGTTGTTCGTATTTTTTAAGGGTTGGGGCTTGTTCGGGTTTAGGGTTCTCAGGGTTTAGGGTTTTAGGGTTTAGGTGTTTTTAGGGTTCTTAGGGTTCTTATAGGGTTTAGGGTTAGCAGCGTCTTTTAGGATTTAGGGCTTGGCGTTGCTGCGGGTTCCAAGTTGGGTGGCTTGCTGTGGGTTCCAGTTTGAGTATACCCCAATGCACTGCTTAAGCATGTTTACTATTTCGTAGCGCAGGATCCCTGCACTGGGCCAGACGCATACCGAATCTCCATTCTGAAAACGGAGTCCCGAGCCTTCAAACAGGGGAAGCCTTCGTAATATGGGAGTTTCCAAAATTGGGGACCTAATATAGACCCCCAAATACTACAATCCTAATTATGCGGACCCCCAAAAAGGGACCCCAATTTTGAGAAACTCCCATATTCCACCAACCAGCAGCTAGTAACAGAAGGTCTCGGCATGTTCGCTGGTTCTGTATGCCAGTTTCGCCTGGATTGCTGGGACCTTGGCTGGAAGCACAATGGACATAGGATTACTACCATACGGCCTCAAAGCTTACCTTCAAGATACTGCTCAGTAGCCATGAAGTTTTGGCTTCGCAAGCGGGGCGAGCGGTGGGAATCCCCTTTTTTGGGGACATTAAGCAGCGAATTCTCAAGTCTGTTCTGAGTATTCCGTTCAGGTTCCGCTAAAGGTTGGGAATTAGATCAGACTCTGGACAGGTGGCCACAGGAGTCCTAAGTGTCATTTATTGGGTTGGTTTCCTGTAAAGGTCAGGAAAGCAAGGGCCTTCAATCCTACAGAAAGACCATGCGCATTCTCCAAGCCACTATGAGCCCCAATTCCATGGGTGAATTGACAGAAATGATAGCCTATTTCTGGAAACTCTTGATAACACTATTCCCAATACTGAGCGCTACACGTGCGGGCCTTAAAAAAACAGCCGGATTTGGGCAATCATTTCCTCCGCTACCCTACCCTAATACGTTGGAATTTGTGCTCTTTTCTGAGGTCTGGTGGAACCACCTGTTGGGCGGATCGAGGCTGGCAACTTACAGACCCCGCTGCAGGTAAGGTTTTCTTCCTGCCAACGGTACTTGTTCCCGGTACAGTACCAACCTAGACTTGGATAGTGAGAGTTGACGGGGGAATTTGCTTGCAATAGTGGAGAGCATCACTGCCAGAACTACAATACCTCAGTATACGCAATCTTCTCTTCGCCAGCAATGGCAATGTGCTGAAAAACCTTCTGCGATCTGAAAGTCCACACATTCCCAGACCCCAAAGGGCTAGAAATTAGAGCCCCAAGAAATCTATGGGGACTGTTTTAGGGATTACATAGGGGCTAGTATTTCTGGCTTCATATAAGGGATCTAATTTTTAGATCCTCCCAGGGGTCTGGGTTCTGAGGACACCTTGATGGATGCCGATCTAAGGAATCCCCCACATGTCGCTGTGCCAAGACAGGGAGTTGACATGGGTGAATCCTTTTGGGGGTTTCCCAAAATTAGGGGTACCTATAGTTACTATAATGGAGAATCAAATGGAACAGAAAATGGAAAATGAAATGGAAACTGTGTTTATGTAGGGGATTTTATAGGGATTAGGGTTTCCCAAAATTAGGGGTACCTTTTTGGGGGTCCCCATAAGAAGGACTGTAGTATTTTAGGGTCTATATTGGGGTCCCCCTATTTTGGGAAACTACCATATTAGAATTATCACCCATGCCAAAATTAGAGTTCTGTAAAAGGATCTTCTATATTATCAAGCATGCCAAAATTAGAGTTCTGTAAAAGGAGCTTCTATATTATCAAGTTTGCCAATATTAGAGTTCTGTAAAAGGAGATCTGTGTATTTTTTACCCCCAACAACGAAGAATCAAGTGAAAAAGATAATGGAGAATGAAATGGAGTCCAGTGATTTACAGGGGATAGGATTTTTCCAATATTTCGCGACCGCTTTTTGCGGGTAGATATAGTAAGGACTGCCGTATGTCGGGGTCTATATTGGGGCTTCCCCCTTTACGGAAACCCCGCTGTGGGTCATGGGGTTGCAAAATGGAGCAAGAAGTTCTTAATTTCTCCCTTCAGAAGAGAGGAGTTTCAGAAGCAATTGTAATGTAATTCTACATGAACCAAGGTATAAGGGTCAGAAGGTCAGGCATTCCAAGTAACAGCCTCGAAGAGTCTGCAATGCCAAGAAAGGCACCCGCTGTGAGAACGAAGCACACAACATGAGCTGTAGTCTAAACTCCTTAAAGGGGATATATAGGGGATTCTATAGGGACTACTATAGTGTTGATTGAGGGGGATACTAGGGGTTTAGACAGTGGCTCACATGCTTCCTGCCTTGCTGAAGGTTCCAAGTTCTCCCCATAGGCGAGCGGTTTGCAGCCCGCCTCCCCCCCCCCCCATTAGTACCGATCTGGAAGGAGCCAAAACCCAGACGCCTGCAGGATCTAGAAAGTAGAACCCAATATGGTACCCTATACGGCTATTGGGTAACTTCTAGGAACCCTCTAGGGGGATCTACTTTCTAGATCGCCCCAGGGGTCTGGGAAGCAGATAATGATCATGTCAATGAGAGGCTAAACCACGGGTGCCCCATGCATTGCTGCAAAGACTAGGACCCTCCATGTAGACGTCATGCCGCATGCTTCCTTGCCAACCAGGACCCAAGAACATTTTTCAGGGAGTGTAGAGATCTCAGAAAGGAGTACGTTCAAGCTTCCCGCGAGTCCATGCGTCTATCATCGCGACATGTTTCTTAGACTTCACATGAGCTGTAGTCTAAACTCCTTAAAGGGGGTTATATGGGGGATTATATAGGGGTTATTAGGGGGGATACTAGGAATTTAGAGTATAGCTCATATAGGGCTTTGCAAGTCATGAGCCTTTACAAGCCCCCCTTCTGCCATTTTTCCAGCCAAGTTCAGGCCACTCTTGTGGATGACCACGACTCCAAAACACCCTATCGGCGCTGGCGGGAGCTACATCATGAGGTCCTGGGGCCTGTTGTGTGAGCACCTCTTGTACTTGTTGCGTTTTTTGGAAGGACTGTATACGAAGATGTTCATGGCGTGTCCAGCCACATCCTATTCGGTTTACATCCGCTGGCCCCGCGCAGCACGTGCCCTGCCGTATGGCGTTCGCAATTCTGCAAAAAGAGCTTCAAAGGAAGCAGCAAGTTTCAGTCGTGCTGCACTCCTCCAAGCGGTTTCGGGTTTATAGGCTTTAGGGTTTACATTTTCTGCGAGTACCTACGATGGTAGAATTTTGCGATCAGCCGTGTTGGGGGAAGGGTTACGGTTATGGGCTAGGATATTCTGCAGGAAAGCACTCAAGCTTTGGCAAGGCTATAATATGAAGTGGTATATTATTCCCTCATAGCTACTACTGTGGGTACCACTAAGCCTACTGACCCATGCATGGAGAGCGACAGCCAAGGAAAATAGCTGTTGGGGTATGGTGTTGGAGTTCACAGAGGGTCTTCTGCGATCACCGTCATCTTCTACATGTGAGCTATAGTCTAAACTCCTTAAAGGGGGTTTATATAGGGGATTATATAGGGTACTACTATAATGGGGATTGAGGGGGATACTAGGAGTTTAGACAGTGGCTCATGTGAAGAGTGTCTCAAAGTCATTGACTGAAAAGCAGCCCCCCTTTGCGGCACAAGGTTTTAAAGGCTTATGTCTGACAGGTCTGCCACGTGCTGGGATTTGCCTTGCCGGCCTGGTCCTCAGTCTGGAACGGGTTGCAGCTGCTTTCCAAGTTTGGGGCTGGAGGGGATCCCGAAACCCTAAACCCCTGATGTTTTAGGGTTTCAGGTTTAGGGTTTTAGGGTTTAGGGTTCAGGGTTTAGGGTTCAGGGCCAACGTTGCAAGGAGTTGAATAACCTGTGGCAAGCATAAAGAGCAGTGCCCTCAGCTGAGGAACGCCAAGCCCCAGCAGACCGCTACCGCATCCAGCCTCAGCAATGCAGCTGTAGATGTAGTCCCTTTTCACCAGAATTTAGCATTCCTGTTATTCTCTTTCAGATCCTTCTGGGGGTTTATGGATGTTTGGGTAGGGATAGATCCAAAGATTTCAACATGTTCCTTGCACGCTCAGAAGTCACCGGTTTCCAAGTGCTCTGCTTTCGGCTGGGACCAACCCGGACAGAGGCTCCTGGGAGGACGAGCCCTTGGATTTGCCCCTGTGCCCTGAGCTTTGGGTTGACGAGGCCGGAAGTTCTCTTGACGCGTTAGGCAGTCTCCCAAAGGCCACTGTGTCAGTCGTTGCGCTGCTAGGCGTGGCCGCCATGCAAGCTCGCGCCTACGTTTCGGGGACCTGCAGCGGTCGGATGGCTGTGATGCAGCTGTGCGTGCGCTGTGGCCACAGTGTCATTGGAGTTGTTAAGTTGGTGGCTTGCAGTGCAGAACTGCCGCAGGACGCGCAGTGCCCGTCTGGCCAGGACCTAAAGATGGCCTAAGCGCTCGTAGCAGTTTTTTGCAGCAGCTTCTGCCGTCTGGAATTTGCACTCTGTTCTCCCGCTCTTGGGTCCCAACTAGCCAGCGAATCAGGTCAGCGACGGGCAACTCAAGGAACTCAGAGAGATCGCTGATGATCCTGCAGGGCAGGCCTAATCTCTGTGAGTACAATCATTCGCAACATTATTATGGTCCCAGGTCCTTGTCTATGGTACGGGGTACCTCAAAAAACCTCAAAAGAATATTGGCAGTTACCGGCGCTGGTATAGAACATGATACAGTGGCTTGAATCTAGACATTAGTCTTGCGTGCGGGAGACCTCTTCCCACAGGGAAGACTCCCTAGAACAGGAATGGGATCCCTCTTCAAAAGGTACTGAAGCGCAGCCTCGAACAAGTGCCTTAGATCAGTACAGTACAGGTTTAGGGTTTAGGGTTTAGGGCAGGTCCATAATTTGAATTTGTGTTTTCGTGCTGCAACATGTGCGTCCCTGTAGGTTCCCCCTTGGGACAGCATTACAGGTTCAGTCCAGAGCTTTTGGTCGTGTGGCCGGAAAGTAAGAAACTCCCTAAACCCTAAACCCACGGTTCAATCCTGTGAATTTCTGGATGGCTATAGTTACTAATTTGTTTACTAGTGTTACTTTCACGAGTAGTACGATTAATATTGCCGCAAATAGTACTCTTACTATTGTTACTACTATCATTACTGAGATTCTTACTAGTATCTAGTACCACTATTATTTCTGTTATTATTGCTGTTTTCATTCGTCTTTGTATACTGCTAGCTCTTATTATCATGATTTTCATTATGATTATTACTGGGTATACTGGGGGCGTAGTATCCCAAGCCCGGCCTTCGGAATGCCGCCTGCGAACTGCGAACGCTCCCTCGCGCCTGCAGAATCTTGCACAGCTTCCCGGCAAAGCAGATCAAGGTGCTGGGCTCAGTAACTCAGAATTTGCTCTAGGTTTTGGGGTTCTAACTTGGGGGTGTAGGGTTTGGGGTTTAGATGAGAGTAGGGTTTAGCATTGGAATCAGAATGGGGGCCAGGGTTCGAGATGTAGAGTTCGCAGTATTCATATAAGCAGGCAGATCTTTGTTGTATTCTTCTCAGCATGTACCAACAACATCAATGGTGTTTCTGCTCATGCTGAGGCAGACGTGGGTTGACGCTTGAGATTCAAGTGTAACTTAGACCCTTAGTAAGGCTAAGGGTTTAGGGTTTACTTAGGGCTTAGGGGTATTTGTAAGAAGTAGCATGGTGAACTTTTGAGGGTTCTTGAGCCTTGATTGACGTGGGATTTGTACAAAAAGGGACCCCCTAGATGGACCTCCCATTGTATTAGCGGTATAATCAGAATATAGGAGGACCCTACCATAATACCAGTATCCCCTGTGGTCGCTAGTACTGGGTGGGGTCCACCTGAGGACCCCTGATATACCCTTATCCTAAACCCTAAAACGCCCCGCAAAAAGCGGCCCGCTTTGCAGAAGCCCGACGCAAATCCTTATGACACCGAAATATTGCTCCCGTCAGTAGTAATGATAGTAATGGTAGTAATGATAGTAGTAATAGTGGCCCAGCCTCTGCAAACCTGCCAACCCTGGCTGGGGGTCGTAGGACATAAGGGAATGTATCATATAGGGATAATGGAAAAGAAAATGGAAACGACTATCTAGGGTCTAGGGTTGAGGGATAAAGGAATGAGTTGCTACAGAGTGTTCTGGGCAGTGCTACGGCTTCGGATGGAACTTTCTGGCTAGATTCCTCCCAGTCAGCTAGCAGCAACATCGCCAAATTCTCTGGGCGGTGCATCCACTAATGACGTCATGCGTGGGTTGTTTTTGAAGAGGCTGCAGCATTACGTGAACCTCAAGCTTGAACACTGCGAGCAAATTGTAATCAAGGTATCCCCCCCCACTTTTTTGTTAGAACTTGCTTGTACCCATTTCTCTGCCCAGGCCTTGCTCGGTCATGAGTTGGGTCGGATGGCCTTCTCCCTTCTCACGGGGCCTGGTCTGAAGGCCTCTCGAGTATTAAGGCTAAGGCAAAGGGTTGGTAAGAGTTGAAGGTTGGGGATTGAGAGCTTCGACAACAGCTCTGGGCTGTTAGCTTTGGTTTTTGACTTCTGCAGTGGGACTGCCTTTAGGGGCCAAATAAGCCTGGAAAGTCAGACGCCAAAGGTGATCTACAGGAGCCTGGAAGAAAATCATTTTCCAAGGAGCTTTCATGTTAAGCTCAGGGCTCAGGGCTTAGGCACATCTCTTGGCACCTGCAACAACAGACACTGGCCAGAAAGGAGTCTGAAGGTCAGGGTTTGCAACAGGACAAGCTGTAGCAAATTGTACTTGGTAGATTCCCAAAATAGGGATCCCGGTATAGACCCCAACATATTATAATCCTTCTAATTGGGACCCACAGAGAGGTGCTCCTAGTTTTTGGGAAACCTCATTTGTCAAAGAGTTTGGCAGTACAGCCCAACGGGTTTTCGCACCCATATCCAAGACCCACAAAGCTTAAGTCCGATGTCAAAGATATCTTATGTTCTATGTGATATATTTACTAGGTTACCTATGTCATGTACATATATTACATACAACCTGCACCATAAGCCCTAAACGCTGGACCCTATGTTGTGTACCTGTATCACATGCGGTATATTATATATTGTACAGTATATAGATTAAATGTGTATGTACATATATGGATGGTTGTCAAATTTGATGGTGCTTTTTGGGAGTCCCTATGATAATACGGCACCTGATATTTAGGGTACCCAAAAAGGGACCATAATTCTGACAACCACCCATATGTATATATACACATATGTTATATGTGATATGCTATGTACACCCTTTCCTCTTCGCGCAGGCCTGGGCTGGACGGCTGTCGAAGGCGCGGACCGTGTGTCAGCAAATGACAGAGGAGCCTGATGACGATGGGAGGATTATGGGTTTGGGGTTTAGAATTTAGGGGTTTCTCAAAACTGGGGTACTTCTTAAGCGTGATATAGGGGAGATGTATGGGGACATAGAGTTTATAGGGTCTCCATAATAAGGATTATAGTATTTTGGGCTCTTCCTGAGGCTTCCTCCTCTTACTGGAAACTACCATACGCCGTTGAAGTAATATGTCAGCAATTAGCTGTCAGAAGGCTATGTCGTTGTAGTATTGTAGCCGTTCTTTAGACAATCAATGTTTTGATAACCCTGATGGAAGTGTTAACCGATTTTACTGGGTTGCTGTTGAGGAACTTAAATCACGTTGCTATAAGAAGGACCCCCCCCCCATTATTTACCATGTATCCATACGATGGTATTTTAAACTAAGTTCCTTGACTGCAACCCAGATCCCTAATCCCTAAACTTTAAATAGTAGTTTCCAACTTCCTTTTCCATTATCCCAGCGATTATCCTTATATAGTGTGTTCTCTTATTCCCAACCCATTCTAGTGCCTATGGCCTCATCGCGAGACTCCCAAAAGAGAGCTGCCTCCGTGGCATTCAGTGTACCTGGAGGTTAGGGTTCAGGGTGCAGGGTTTAGAGATGTATACGGAGATTATAGGTCATTAGTATGGGAGTTATATAGGGATGATGGAATGGAAGCTACTATATTATATTAGGGAATATATTGGGGTCAGAGCAAGGTGAGGGTCAGAATTACTCCGAATGGTGCTTTAAATGGATTTAGTGGAAAATGGCCCCCAGGAGGGCCGCATTTCAGGTTAGTCCTCTTTTTTTTTGAATCTGTCAGGTCCAAGTGTTCAGCATTTGGAAAGACAGCTTTGCCCAGCACTCTAAAGGGACTGCTTGGAGAGACAGGTTGACGAAGGTGGCCCACAATCATAGCCAGGGTTTAAGGTTTACCTTGCTCCTAATGCTAAAACCCTCCGACTGCCTAATACTGTTACTATAGCTACTATGTACCAGGATTTGTATTATTGTACGTTATACTATAAAACCCGTACCCCTGTCAAAGCCCCCCACCCCTCTGATTCAATATTCCCAGTACACGATAATGATATTAGGGGACAGCAGAGGTGTTCATGATAAATTAGGGGGAGTTGATTACAACCCGTGAGTTCTGTTCCTGTTGTCATGTGGTCTCTACAATCAGCTTAGATAGAGGATCCTCAAACTTTTGTGAGGTCCAAGGGTTTGTTTCTGAGACATTGCCATCACAGGCTCCCCTTGGCAAGATCCTTCCATTGAGTTTCCTAGCGTGTGGAGGTCGAATGAAGACCTAGCTTCCAACTCAAATTCTCTATTCCCGGTGGAGGCTGCGTTCTCTGTGGTGTAGTGAAGTTTGTCCGGGCTTCCCTTCTTGATTCTTGTGCGGTACTTGGTCCTAGTTCATGCTGAAAGGATTCCAGAGAACAAGTCTTGTACTACTTTCTGAGACCATTGCCGTTCCTCTAAGCTTAACAAAGCCAGATAGGCCATGATGCCCCAAACCTCATACCTATTCTAGGTTAACACTTTCACGGGGTACTCCACCTTTGTTGAGCGGATCTTTGCATCACCTGGACACCTTCAACTAAAAGTGCTGGTTTGCAGCGCCCATTTGCCAGATCCTTGTTCTGGTCCGGTTGCAGCGGATGCCACTTACTTGCTGTGGGTTGGTAGGGAATAAGGGAATAAGATCCCTGCGAATCCCTATGTAATATATTCCTTTATTCCCTGCTAACCCCCAGCAAGGAGAGAGAGAGAGAGAGAGAGAGTCTCGCCGTAGCCATTTTGGCTCAAGTCTCCTGCCGCTCCTGAGGCCTTGGCCTGTGAGGGGGCCCCCCGGCACGGCCCGCAACGGGAGCGGAGGTGTCTCTACTCCCGCGGCGGGTGGACGTCGCTTGGGGGGCGGGGGCTTGGGCACCTCGGGCAGCCATTTGCCAGCCAAGAGCGATTGCTCCACTTTAGTTTCCCAAAACGGCAAAACACCTCCTAGAGTGCCGCCACATTGTCCTGTGCCGAGCCTGTGCCTCGAAGAGCCCGAGGGTGTCTGGACCGAAGCCCTTTGCGACTCCCAGCTGAAGGCCGTGGACTACCGCTACGGCAACTTTGCTCTTGTACGGTGGCCATGTCGACGAACCCTCCAGGGGTAGGAGCCGTGGGGCCGGCAGAGGATATGCGGAGGGCAGCTGCCACCCCCATAGATTGTGACGTAGAAGATCTACAAAATCAACCAGGTGTGCTGGCCAATGGTGATTCCCCGTCAAAACGTACGTGCTGGGATGTGATCCCACAGGCGGCAGCTAGCACAGGGGCTATGCCGTTGACGCTCGAACAGCTGACCACGCAGTTGAGTGCTGTTCTTGCCCCCGTTACAGGAGGAATGCGTGCCCTGCAGGATCGGATCACTAGCTTGGAGAGTGAGGTGACCAGCAAGGTTGGGTCTGCGCTACAGCTCATCCAAACCGTGGATCAGCGCCAGAAGGTGATGGGGGCACAACTCGAAGAGGTGTGTGGTAAGGTGGAGACGCAAGCAGACTCGGGACCAAGAAGCTACCATCCAAGAAGTGCTGCGCAGACTCGAGGCCTTGGAGCAAGAAGGGTCTGGAGGCGAATGCCTGCAACTTCCCCGGAGGATGACCGAGATCCGGCAGTCATTGTCGGCGGATGGGGGCCAGACACGGAGGCAGAGCAAACACTCAAAGAAGTTCGGGACTTCATCAAAGTAGGGCGATCCCGTTGCCGACTGAGGAGGCCTTTGTACCGGGCAAACAAAGGGGCTTTGCGGTAGTCCCCTTGTCATGCGTCGGGAACGAGACTCATCAAATGATGATGCGGCGCGCTGTCGCGGCAGTGGAGGCCACCAGAAAACTCCAGGCCAAGTCCGGACACAAGGACGCTGACGGTAAGGACATGATCGTTTGGGCGGCGGTGTCCCAACCACCTGAGGTTCGGAGAAGGGCGAAGTTGGTGGCCAAGACAAAGCGAGCCGTGCTTGAGAGCTACGAGAAGGCGGGAAAAAGCACAGGGAACCAGGAGCTGACGGTCAAGGCGGATTACCGGAGAGGCACGCTTCATCTGGAAGGCCGGAAAATCGGGGGATGCTCTCTGCAACCGACAGCTGGCGAGATATTGGTTTGCGACCACGGGTGGGTGGACGCTGCCTTGGTGTGCCAGCACACAAAGGAGCCAACGCAGGAGTTCGCTGACCGCTGGCACAAACTAGTGGACATGATTAGCTGAGACTTCTCACACGGGGCTGACAGTGAAGAGGAGCGGACTGTGGATGCATGCGCACAGAATGAGGAGAGGAACATGTACAGACAACCTTGGGAAAGGGAAGATCCTGGTGGGCAATGCGCTGCCCGGGCTGCCAGCACAGAGCAACCCAGGCGGACACCCCGCCCAGATTACCGACCTGGCAATGGCCAAGCCAACCTAGCAGGACGTGCCGAGAGCGCCTGTGACAGGCAGCTTGACGACCCATGTGATGTTGAGGCGGCAAACCCGGGGCAGCATCGGGAAGACAGCCACGGGGATGCCTCCCGAGTCTCTGGCACAATTGTACAGAATGCTGGAGACCAGAGCCCACCAACAAGGCTAGCTGAGCGATCGGACTTACCGTGGAGCATTCGAGTGACCTTGGGAAAGAAGAGGGCCAGCCCGAAGACCGCTGCCGCGAGCCTTGTTGGAGGAACGCATGAGGAGCCAAAGCCACAAAAAGATGACCGGACAGGCAGAGAGCGCAGCAGATCCATGCGGAGACACCTGAAGAGGGGTAGACGCAGGGAACAGGACCACAAGCATGAGAAGCAGACACACCAGAGGTAGGAGTAGTAGTAAGGCGGTTAAAGCAGGGAAGTGGGGGACACAGGAGGGGAGAAAGGCGGAGCAGGGAGATAAGAGAAGCCCGGAGGCTGGAGAGGGGGGACACCCAGACATAAGCTTGGGGGAAAGCAGATGGAGAGACTGCCGGATATGCTAGGGAGCCTCATCGGGTGTGGAATTAGAGATGTGGCCGTGGTGGCCTTCCAGGAGGTGAACATGACCGCAGGAGTGCACTACCTCAAGGCGGGGCCCGCTGATAGTGGCAGGTAAGCAAGAGGGGGAGTGGAGAGGCAGAGCAACGGCCGTAAGGCGCCAATTCGGAGTAGTAGCACACTGCCAGACGCAGCCCAACGGGCTTGGAGTATGTGTGGCAACAGCAGGGGGAAGGGTGGGGGTCCTGAACCTGCACCTGCCGCCGAAAGCAACCCTGACGGGCAAGCAGCTGACAACATGGGAAAGTATGTACGCCGCAAAAGAAAAGACCCTCATGATCATGGGAGACTTCAATGAGACGTTGACCAGAGAGAAAGAGACCGATGAGATCGCACATCGTACGGCCAGAGGAGCTTTGTTGTGGTGCACTGGTTCCATAAGTTGGACATGAGCGCACCTCCCCAGCAAATAGGCATGCCCTCCTATTACCGTACAACCAAGCGCATAGGCCTAGAAGGCTTGACTACGTCCTAGTGTCGCCAGCACAGAAAAAGGGCGGGGTGCACCCTATCAGGCAGATGGCAGCCAGTGACCATGAAGGAGTCAGCATTGCAATTCTGGAAGGCAGGAATCAACCGAGAACGGATCACGGGGCCGGCAGGCACACCAGGCATGGGCCGAAAGAACATAAGCCACAAGCATCGCTCGAGCAAGCCTTCCGAGACACGGCGCGGTGTCGTGGGGACCCACAACAAGCCATCCAGCGGATGGCAAATGAAATTACCCAACCCAGAAGAAATTACCGAGCATACCGAGAAAGCAGAGAAGTCAAACAGCTCAGGACCCAAGCCAAGCAGGCCAGGGATGGGCAGCAGTCAAGGACCCTATGGAAGCAGATGTGGAGACTGCGGGCGAAAGAGAAGGAGGTATGGCAAAGGGATCTCCTGACAGCGGTCTTGGCTGAGGATTGGCAGGCGCTCCGGGCGACCAAGGCGGCCAAGCGGGCGGAGGTGTGGGAAGAAGAGCTCACGACGAAAGAAAAGTGGAAAGAGACCATGCAAGAGCACGTTGAGGGGATTTTTGCAAAAATGCCGGCAGCACAGGTAAAGGCGGGATTGGCAGAGATCTGGGCCCAGCTCCAGCGAAAGTGCAAAACCACCAGGTGGCGGCCCTTTAGCACGGAAGAGGTGAGACTAAGCACAGTGTCATGGGCATCGGGCAAGAGCACAGGGCCGGACGGCATTAGCACAGGGAGTGGGAGGCGACTATCCTGGAAGAGTTCAACAAAGGACGTGCCCCGGCAAACACAAAGAAGTCCATCACCATCCTCCTGCCTAAGACAAGACAGCCAGCGGAATGGGGGCAAACAAGACCAATTACGCTCAGCAGCAGCATGCTCAAATGGCAGGCCCAACTCCTCCTGGCCAGGGTCGGAGAAGCCATCATGCGAGATGCCAGGTACCAGTTTGCCAGACCAGGAAGGCAAGCCCCAGAACTGGTTCTGTTACTGCATAGAGTGATCCGCGTATGCCGCGAGTGGGATGTGCCCGTGCGTGTAGCCAAAGTGGACGTGTCAAAAGCGTTCGACACAGTATCGCAACTGTGCCTTGGAAACCATCAGGGACAAGCTGGGGGATGGCGGCTGGGCCTGGGAAGCCCGCCTCTGGACTGACTTGGTAGGGAATGATGGCATCGAGGTGCAAGTGCGGAACGAGGCGCACAGCATACCGCAAACAAACGGTGTGCGGCAAGGGTCCCCGGACTCTCCCGTCATATTCGCTTGTATTGTGGGGGACGTCATGAATGAAGTGGAGGCACAGGCTAAGCAACAAGCAACACCACAAAACCAAGAAAGGGTACCAGACAGAGGCCCGGCCTTACCCCATCATACAGCAGGTTTCCAGGACGACGTGTACCTCTGGGCGTTGCACAGACCTTTCTTGCAGCTGTTGCTTGATAGCCTGGCTGACCGATTAGCGAAGCGAAGCCTGCAAATCCACCCCTCCAAGACCAAGTATATCCACACATCCAAGCACGAGCACACCCTGCAGGTGGGGGGAAAGGAAATTAAGGGTGAAGCGGGGGGGACGATAACGGTCCTCGGTGCACCAGTGGCCATGACCAACGAGGTGGCGACCTGCCTGGGTGAAATCTCGCGAAGAGCCAGGGCGGCATACGGAGCACACAAAGCAATGTTGGAGGGACCTGGAACGCACGACCAGAAACTCAAGGCCTACAACCGCTTCGTGATGCCTGCGTGCGGCGCTATGGGCCATTGGTGCGGCCCATCCTCATGACTCCTTGTTGCGAGGTGCCAATTCCATTCAACTAATACAACTGAGGCAGATGATCGGGGTAAAGCGCAAGGTCGCAGAAGAGTGGGTTGAGTGGAATCAAAGATCCTTGCGACACAGCAGAGGGGTGCTGGCCAGACACCCGGAATTAGGTGGAGCAGCATCATACTCAAGTCTGTCTGGAGACTCCATGGGCACATCATCCGTCACCAGGACGATGCCACAGCCTTGATCCAGTGGCGCAACCTAGCATGGTGGAAACAAGAACAGAGCAACAGCAACGGGATGAGACACCCACACAGGTACAATGCCATGTTAGAGACAGAAAGGCTCTTGGACATTATAGCTCACCCCTGGCAAACCACAGCCCAGAACCGCAGCAAGTGGGCGTCCCTGGAACCAGCCTTTACCCGGCGATTTGATGTAGCATGGTCCACCGGTCGACAAACATCGCTGGAAAACTTAGCACCCAACTAAACCCTGACCAGCAACGGCTGACAAGCAAACCAACAAAACATGATGGCAAGCACACTCGAGAGGAGGGAGAGTCGGTTGCAGCTTGTTCTTGGGCGGCATGAGCAGCACACCATTGTCATGTGTGACAAGTGAACTTTTGAAAGTGAGAGTCACACCGTGGGCATGGCATGCGTGCAGTGCAAGTGCAAGTATCGAGCCAGCCACAGACCGCGCTAGCCAACTACCACCATCACCGACACCCTTCACTTCACCAGCTACACTCACACAGACCGCTCCACAGCTGACACGATAACACCCACCGCCACCAGCCACCACCACGACATACACTGAGGGAAGACCGCAGCCACGCCATCGCACCGGAGGCAGACAGTGAGGCAGAAGCACAGAGGAGTTGCTTGGGCATGTTGATTGAAATGCAGCACCATGGCCAGATGCAGCTGTACCGCGCCAGTCATTCGAGGCAAACCTGTCACCAACAGCCAAGTCAGCCCAGCAAGCCAAGAGACATCACAACCACATTGCAGCTCGCAGACTCATGCTGACCATGCATGAACATGTCAATCTGTATGCAAAGTGTAGCCAAAGCGATACCTTTGGGACCAGGACAGCATTCAAGGACAAAGCCAGGTGCCGGTTTGGTGCATTAAGGTGACCAGAACAGAGCACTTCTAAGCAAGCTAGACCAAGAGGCGAGACAGGACACTGTCGGCCAATCGCTGAGGACCTGCTCACACCATGGTTGCTGCCGGAGCATGGAGTCTGATCTTCTTGGCCCTCGTGACGATGGCCTGGACGCGGAGGCCTCCGGACAGCTTTGGCAAGAAAGTGGCGGCCCGGATGAAGCCGGCAGAGGGCACCACCTTTGACAAGGAAGCGGACCACGTGATGAAGACAAAGAGGCACGCGGGTGAGACGACTGCAGCATATGGAGGAGACGAAGAAGAAGAAGAAACAGCATGGATGGAGACGGCGCCATGGCGAATCCACAAAAGGGCAAAGACACAGCATGGTGCGAGGGCCGAGGCACCGACGGTGTCGGAAAGCCTGCGGATCCCGCCGACGAGGCCGCCCCGAGCGGAACAGCCTGCTCCACATGGACAGCAGACCCGATGGATGCAGCTCTCGAGGACGAGGAGGAACTCCAAGAACAAGGAGAAGAAGACGTCCCAGCAAACCCAGGGCGGGACCAAGTGAGGGCCAGCCTGGAGAGCGCATCAAGCTCAAGCTCCAGACCACACATGCACCTCGCACCAAAGAGTCACACGCATCATCCACGGCATGACGACTGAGGGGATCATCCGCATGTCCATCAACCTCCCGCATGTGCTGCATGGAGTCCAGGCAGCCACGAGAAGAGGAGGACTATAGACTCGAGGACCAGGAGGAAGAAGTCCCGGTGGAGGATGAAGAGTGCGAAAGGGGTCCGGAGAGAGAGGACACGGAAGAGAATGCGTTCATGCAGCGCCCCAAGAG